TATGTAACGATGACTTAGCGCAGCTAAACTCGTGGCTTATTATACTCTGTTCTACTGACAACAGGCCAGCGAAAAATCTAACAATCTACAGCAAAACCATCAATTATTATGGGCGTTATAACATAGGTGTGCAGCTGGACGAAACATAGACGTCGAACCCCCTGCAGACGATTTAAATACCTGACGAAACATACACGTCAAACCACGCTGAACGGTTATGCCTCTGTAATTGCCCCATGCCAGTCATCTTAGCACCATGTAACATACAAGACATAAGATACTGTCCTTGTTAAGTAAGTTAAGTAAGAAAATCCACAAGCAAAGAGACAGAACAGGTGCAAGCAGACTAGCCTTCTACCCTGAAGATGGAGGCGATACGTTCCTCCAAAACGTCGGTTACCACCACATCTACACAGTGCCACATCCCAGAAGACTGCTTTCTTCATTATTATTATTATTATTNGCGAGGCTGGCAGTGGTACCCTATACTTCCCCATCTACCGGAGGCATTGGAAACTACTTGGGCGGGAAACTTTACCTGATTTTGCTCAGAGGTCTCATAGAGACATGAGAATCTTTTACGTGCCGTAAATCTACGACATGGGACCTACGGTTTAAAGTCCCTCGTGGAGGACTTGTTCCCTGAATTTTTCCGCCCTTAAAAATTCCACGACCTCTGCTGGGTTTGAACCCCCGTACCTTGAGTCATGAGGTGGGAACATTACCCCTAGACTACGGAGGCCACTGCTTTCTTCATAGTCACTGCCGTGAAAATATCAAATCTTACATCTTGACTACAGTTTCCTATGGGCAGCAGGAAACCTGGAATCCAGAGCTTCGTCATATTTTGTTTCTGATCACAGCAGTACAGTGCAGTACAGTACAGTGCAGTGCTACAATCCACTGGTCATGTCATTTTCCTTGCTAGTCCATATGAATTGGTGGGGGGGTGATCATCCACATTATGTGATAACCTGGACTAATGCCTGAATAGAGAGAGAGAATTTAGAACACCAGTAATATAAGTAATGCTGATGAAAATAAAGGACAAATATCACTGTAGCAATATCTTGTCTCCAGCTGCCCTCAGCACAGTCTGAAAATCCTTTGGTCCAGTCCCTCCTGATTCTAAATTCCATCTGTCTTTTAAAGTGTGTACTCAACTGTGAACAGAATTCTTCATTTTTCAATCTGGATTAATGAGGGTTTACTGTATTTCTAGAAAGTGATCTGGCCATTATTACAGTCATTAATTCAATATTGACCGTGTTGCAGGCATTCTGGCGGGCCACGACAACCGGGTAAGCTGTCTGGGTGTGACAGAGGATGGCATGGCAGTAGCAACTGGTTCATGGGACAGCTTCCTACGAATCTGGAACTAAAGGAACCACAAGATACCCAGGCATATGAATTCTGCAAGGAGATTGGAGCCAAGAGCCAAGCAAACATGAATATCAACATTTAACATAGAATTTTATGAGAATTTTTTGATGACACTTGGAGAGAAAGAGAGAGAGAGATGTGTGGATTGAGGAAGCCCTGTTTTTGTGTAGAAGCGGGTAGTAGCCATTTCGTTTTGAATCAGCTGGTTTTGCATTGGCATGCAGCATCGTGCACTCCCTGTTGGATGGTGCCATTTGGTTGGTTGCCATGCTGCCATTTCTGCAGGGTTCTGAAGTCAATTTGACATCTTTTCAACAAAACCTTTTTAAGAGAACAAATTTGTGAACAAAATTGTTTCAATACAACTTTCTGGGTGTTTGATGGTTGTGAAAAGTTACAGATATCTGAGGATTTAAATTCTGGTTGTCATAACAGAGTGATATGGGTTGGTTCCAGTTATTGCGAATAGTTCTCATTCTTACATACTGATATCCGGGGTGACCATTTGTTTGACTGCTCCTGCTGTTGCTTGTAGTTACTTGTTTTGTTGCATTGGAATTTTTATGTGTCAATTTTGGTTGATTCTGGGCTGAGCTAATCACTCATTCCTGTCGCATTCTGCAAGTGGTATAGACTTGCTACTGTGGGCCGCTGTAGAATGGTATTTTGAGGGCAAGAGAATGCTGAACCAGGCAGAAATGTTCAATGCCACTTGCAACATTGACCAGAACTGTAAAACTCCAGCTTTAAAACTGAATAGTTAATAATGTGCAATTTTTTGAACCAGAAAGGCATTTCATTGTGTTTCTATATTATGCTTCTATTCCATAATTTTGATCATCCTCAGTGCATTGTTTGCAACATTGACAGAGCAAGGGAGTGATGCGCACCACCCTCTCTGCTGTCTGCATGGTGGGCAGCATGAGAGAGTCAACATGATTTAATCTAGTCACAAGTACCGACACGAGCCAATGTTGCCGAAAATGTTCTGCTCCCTTTGCCCACCCCCCACCCCCCACCTCACGGGCCAGGAGGCACATATTGTTGGTTCCATCTCGGAAAGCCGCTCTGGGTCATGGGAATGTTGGAATTTGTATTGTCAAAAAAAGGGACCACATGGGTACGATGAGACTAGATCATGAAGTTAGAAAAGGCTTGAATGATTTATTATTATTATGATTATTAAGTAAGAAATTTCATTATGCACATTGTGCCACAGTTTTCAAATCATTAAACATACTTTTGAAAAAAATAAAAATTACTGCCATATGTTTTGACTTTCATATTACAATATATAACTATGTATCTGCACGGTATATACCACGAAAGTGGAATTGTGGGAAATGTAGGTTTCGTTAGAAAAGTTAGCATCATTTGCTTTTTGTATGTAGTCGTGTGACATGAGCTGAGAACAACAACTCCCACCCGAAGCATCCCGCCGCCCGTCACATGCGGTACTTCCGTAAGCTTCGAGTTGATTCTATAAGAAATAAACTAAAACTGGGTGTTGTGCTAGATTTTAAAATTTTCTTCAACATTTTCCACTTTGGGTTCAGTATACAATTGGGGGTGTGTAATTGTGGTAGATGTGTGCATAGATGCGGCGGCCACATTGCCAACCGCGAATCTTATCCAGAGTTCACATTGGTTAAGGTTAACTTTTCTTTCTGAACATGAAACGCTTATAATATGGTTGGACAAAAAATGAAACTATAAAGTGCAAATTACCTTGCTAGTTGTACGGATTTTTTCAAAGCATAATATCAAACACTTGCTTCTGAGGAAATGTTAAAGCCACGACCTCATATCCCTGCTTTAAATGAAAGCATTTTTCAATATAATTACAAGAACTTTGTAAAAAAAAATTAAACCTCACCTTTCCTGTTTACTTTTTCTGGGGGGGGGGNGGGAGAAAACAGAAGAAGATTTGGAGTATCAGCCTTCATAATCAGCTTTTGAATGTATGAATTTAAGGGCTGTAAGCAACCCATCCCCCTTACCAGTTTTAATACAGCGAGGTTACTCTGTAGTCCCCCTCCAGTAGACTTAGAGTAGGGGTGTGTGTGCGTGTTGTCTACATACACAGTATTTTCTAAATGTTTGTAAAAGAAGAATATAAGTCCGTGTGTATGTCTGAGAGGAAGCTGCGTATCTTATTTTGGAGAAGAGAGTGGTGCAAGTTTATCAGTTCACCCACATGCTCGGAAAATCTCTAGCAAGAAATGACATTTTTATTTTCAGTGTGTTGCTTGAGATTACTGGCAGCTTGGCTGCATGTGGCTGATCTCTTTGATAGGCCTAGCCAAGTACAGCCAGATTCTCTACAGTCTAATCAAAGAAGAGAGAAATCACCAGCGACCTCTGTTGAATATGTGAGTTGCATTCACAGAAAATCACTAGCTTGTTTGTGTGAATGGAATTTAAAAGAGAAATATCAATATTATGAGCAAAGCCAAGCGATCACATCCTATGAAGCATTTTTTTATATTGATATATTCTTTGTGAAACAAGTATGGATTACTTATCTATCAATCAATCAATCATCCTGCATATGAAGAAGGGTCTTATTATACAACTGCAGAAGCCAAGCTGCAGAGCTGTCTTGTGTGAATATGCGTGCGTACGTATCTTAGAAGTGTGACTGGGGGCTCTGCGGCTTGGTCCAGCCAGTTCGATCTGCTGCTTCCGTCAGGTTTCTGGACGACATCTCTCATACGTTCGCATGTAGACCAGTCAATATGGTTGGAGCATTCCATCGTTCTCCAGTTACAAGGGCTCAGGGCTGTTCTATGTGCATGACGTGTCCACTTGAAGAAGGGTCGACAAGAAACCTGAGGTACGTGTCATCGTATTTCTCCTGTATTCAGCCAAAACACGAAGAAGCTGCTTCTCATATGGGAAGTAGCCTGTTTGAGTGGGTTTGCTTCTAACCAGAGAGACTTGTGCACTTTGATTTTGTTCGTCTCTTCACCAACGTTGACAAAAGTAGAATATCTAGAATTAGCTTCTGCGGCCAGAAACCACAACAGATGTTACTTTTGTTCTCATACCGACAGCTGAATTATGTTTTATACATACACATATATATACATATATATATTTTCTAAAGATCCCATGTGAGGCTGCGCCCCAGAGGCATTATTGTGTGTTATCCCTACCCCGATCTGGGGCCTGTCCCCATGGTATGATACATGAACTTCATTTAGATGTCAACTTGGAATGTAATATTTAATTTCTCTATTAGAAGACACAGGTAGTGACCGCTGTGGAGGGAACTACATGGATACGTGTGTTGTGGGAGGTTTTTGCATATTGTAGTAGTGACTTTTTTTTGTATCGTTTAAAAACAACTGCTGCTGTAGCTTATTGAAGTCGTGTTTTGTGATTTGTCTTGTAAGTAAACTATCTCACTTGTCCAAATAAAGCTCTTTGTCTTTAAAAGATCAACTGCCAATATTTGTATCTCATTCATTTGTTATCGCCGTTCAATTGTATTTCCCGTGTGAAACTGTGATAACCTGTCTGGACAAAAGTGTGCGTCATGTGATGGCACAGCTGAACATTGATCGCTCAGAGATAGGCAGAACCTGTCTGGACTGATTATTACTTGTGGTTCATCCTTTTATACATAAGCATGAGTAGATCACTGGCATTGCTGTCGCATATTAACACACATGAACGTAAGTTGCATAGAATAGCCTCACATTTCAGTGTATTGCGTCTTGATGTGGATATGTCAGTGCAGTATGCTAAACAGAATTGGTTTATGGATGACTGTGCATGTTATTCTTGCCAGTGGCATTAAATATCAGCCTCGTCCCATCTGATGCATGTAGGATGCAAGGAATACAGGAGAAATCTTACATCACACGGTGAGACTGCCTGTTGAATTCTGAACTTGAGTAACTAGCGCTGGCATGGGAGTTGTGTTCAGTCGGATTCAGCGCAAACTTTTCCAAATCTTTTTCCTGCCCTTCCCAACTTCCTGAATGAAGGGGGAGTACCATGTCTGTGTTGTGGTTGAGTGCAGACATTAAGTTGGCAAGACATCCCAGAACCAGCAACGGTGGGTCTCAGTGTAAGGTCCCCATATGTGACAGCAATAACTGGAACACTCGCAGGAGTACACAGTAAGTTTTATTATTTTTTGAGTGCTGTGCATTATGTCTACAGTAGGAAACAGGAAAGTTACATTTTTATTGTTCTCACGAGCTTGGTCTGATAAAATCCTGTCTCATGGTATTTGCATTAAAAGTGGACTAAGTAAATTCTCAGTATGACACACGCAGTCACAGGAGCAAGACACAACACAAAGCACAATACACACATGAAAGTAGGAAGAATACTCCGATAGAAGAAGATAGGTGTGACTTGCGTATTGAGATATGACATAAGAATGACAAATCCTGAACAGTTTTAATATTTAAAATTTATCATTATATATGACGAATATATATTTTAGTATAAAGACAACAGGGCATGCAATGAAGTAGTTTGACGTACATAGAAAAGCACCTGAAGATGGCACTTTAGTGCTGAAACATGTAGTGCAAGAGAGAAGAGGGAGGTGAATAAATGTATGCACTGTAAGACAGTCAGAATAAATCATGGACAATTTCTCAGGCTTTTATACATTTTTGTAAGTCATTTATCAGCTACATGAAATTTATCCAGAGGGAGGGTGGACTTAAACATAGGAGTGACTTGTGAAACTGTGTTCTTATTTTAAGCATGATTGACTATTGTATGCATACAGTGTTGAATCTTGTCAGGCACGTTAGCTTGAGCAACATGGACTGTGTAAATATTTCCCTGTTTCTCAAAATTGGCTTCCAACTTTCACCTGTTGACTCCAGTCTCTTCAGATCCAAACTGAAACTATGAACAGATCTTAAAAAGTTTTTACACATTTTATTGGGTCTCATTTATGTTATCTTGGTTGATGAGTTGCAACTCCAACGAAGAGTTCACATATCTCTTTATTTGTCCTTCACTGCTGTACTTGCCTACTTCTTCCTTATTTCCAACATGCACTGACATTTCTGTCTGTATCTCCATATTTTCAGGAACATGTTCTGTCACTGTTGTTTTCTTATTATCTCTGTTTACTCCCTCCTCTGTTTCTTCTTGTTGCTCCCTGTTGTCATATTTTGAGTGTATTATTCCATTACTTGGCGTCTTGTGTGAGACATGTTCACCAGTTTCAGCTGTGTCTGTATGTTTGGAATTGAAATCAGTTAGAAACTCGCTGAGAGCTTTCCCCATGTTCACAGTCTCTTTCCTGGCTGAGCTGCTTACACACACACCTTCATCCTGCCATTCATTCTCATTATAGTCATCCTGGAGTTCGATTATTCGTGTACCTTGCTTCTCACATTTTTTGCAGGGATCTTCCAAAATCCTCCCATTATCTGTATAATCATCCCCTAGTTTCTGGAGTTCCACAATTTCTTTTCCTTGTACCTCATGTTCTTCACAGGAACCTTCCAGAGGTATCATTTCATTGTCATCATTGCTCTTTTTAAATTCATTCTTGAGATACTGGAGTTGCATTATTTCTCTTCCTAGTGCCTCACGTCTGTCACAGATGTCTTCCAGAGAAGTTATTTCATTATCATGATCCCTGAGTTGTAGGTTCACCATTTCTGTGCATAGTACCCCACCTTTTTCACAACGATAATCCACTGCTTCCCCTTCAGTCTGTCTGTGTCTAACCTCAGCATCTTGAAGCTGCACAGTCTCTGCATCTAGGACCTGTCCATTCATCGCTGTGGTGAGATTACTGACATCAGAGGTCATACCAGGTTCTTTGCGTTTGTATTCAGTGTCAGGATCAATCTTTGCTGCATTTATGCACACACCAGGGCCTTCCTTTCCAACAGTTGCATCTCCAAGAAAATTGTCATATTCTGTGAGGCGACTTGAGTGAGTTTCCGCGATCATCTCAGTCAGATGAATAGAAGCTGTTGCTGCATTCACTTTGGTTTTCCTTGTCTCTGTGAGGAGAAGAAAGATCAGTCAAATTGTTATCAGTGTCTCATGAGTTAAAAACAGTACAGTGCTGAAAGAACTTGGCAGTGATTTGTATAAAAATAATCTGACCTATGGCAGACGCTTGTTATCCTTGTGTCTTCACCAAAGCCACACAGCACATACCTTTACCTGACAGATCATGCACTTTTATTTATAATTGACATGTGATGACTGGATATGCAATGGAGGCCATGTTGTAATTTTGATGGTTAAAAGTCAGCTTGACACTGCAAAATACCAGATCAGTCCTGTGTTGTGGTGGTACTTATTCCACTGGTGCTCAGTACTGACTACTGCCTCTGAGGTTGGTCATGAGCCTTTCCAACTACACAGTGAGAAACTCAGTACTTATTTGAAGCTTCCACTTGACTTCAAAATTAAACCTTTGTATTCCATTATTGCAGTAGCACATGAACATAGCCAAGCTGGCTAATCATCACGTGTTCACAGTACTAATGCAGTGCTCTATGAGACCTATGGATGGAAGGAGAATGCACTGGAGGAGCACCACTGAGGAAGTCAGAGCGTACACCAGGCTAAAATGCCATTACCTGTCCAAGTTAAAATATGGCTGCCAGTTTGTTTGGACCTAGGGTTCTGGAAAACAGGTGTACCTCAGAGATAAACTCTGACTTCCAGCTTCTTAATTCTTTAATTCATAAACTCACCCAAGAGAAAAAGTGTGCAATATTATATTTAAGCATCCTGTTGCACTCTACACGATAAATGATACAAACTCCGTCCTAAGTGCAAACAATATATATTTATATGTCTCTGATCTTGTTCTTTCTACACTACATGTTTCGGCCTCTATCGGCCATCATCAGGTGTATACTCTTAACGTTGCTGCCACACTGAACCCAGTCTAAAACTTAACATTTAAAAACACAATGTCACATTCTTCGTATTATCAACATCTACATCATTGATATGTGTCTGGTATGTAGATTATGTTGCACACGTCAAACCCGATATTCTTGTAGTAGCACTCTAAAAATCTTTAGTTATGATGTTTTTAAAACCTTTTAAAATTTTCTCTAAATTTTAAATTTAAAATTTAAAATTCTTAGGGTTACTCGCCCTATGTCTAAGTGCTGGAGCGGCTAGTTCTTGTTTTCACACTGTACAGGTGTTATCTGTAATATACAAATATTCGTATTATTATTTTATGTACGTAATATTTTCT